AGACTGAGTATGCTAAATTAGGGACCAGGGAGGGGGAGAGTCCCACCATCTACGTTAGATTGCATCGGGCCACCTAACGTAGGTGGGCTGGTTCCTTTCCTCCTCCGGCGGAGCTGTTTGCCTCTCTCCAGGGCTGGAGGACTGAAGCTTTCTGGTCTGTGGAGGTGCTCCTGGGTTGGAACCCAGAGGAGACAGCACCTGTATTTTAGTTTAATCCTTTGTGCCGTGGTTTTGGAGAGAGAGAAAATGGTGATTACAGCGCGGGTTGTCTTCTAACACCCAACCACATGCCTGAACCTGTGAGCAACCCATCAGCCTTTTAATATCTGCCAAAATCTCTGCTAACGGCAATGGGGTGAGGGTCATATACTGGCTGGACACCACCAAGTGATTAGGGCTGCTAGGAAAAAAAAGTCTGTACGGGGCAATGTGTTGTATTGGGAAAACTAATCTCTGCAGTGATGTTTTGTGTCAAAGTCCTACAGATACGAATACTGAGCTATACAAAGAAAAGGAGCTCTAGATTGGTGTTATGAGAGCGTAGCACGTGGGTGTATAAATATGGGCATATTTGTGCATAAATACACAGAAGGAGAGAAAAAGACAGAGGAGGAGGAGGTATTTCAGGAAGGGCCTTGCTTTGTTATCAGATAATTCCTGGGTCAGCCCTTGAAATTGCTGCCAGTCTTGCAGCTTTTCCAGAGCTTGCAATGCACTTAGGGATGGGCCCAAGCGAAGAAGGAGATCCGGATCTGGCTTTGGAAGTGGAAGCATCCCGAGGGGCTGGCAGCATCCAGCTCCGCGCATCCCTCTGCAAACCGGCAGCTTTGCAGTATCTCTGCTCTGGATCTTGAATCCCCGGCTTGGGCCCGTCACAACCATTTCTGTGACTGCGCAGGTGAAGCCAAGCAGAAGTCGAAGGGATTTGTTTGCGATGCAAGCGCTGTGCCACACCGGGTGGGATTTTTCAGGGTTTTTTTTGTAATGGATGGATTTTAAGTTCCGTGAACCGTGCTGGCTTTGGGTCCCAGGGTGGTGGAAAGAAGCGTCTGTCTCCCTGCTTTGGAGCTGGGGTGGGCTTATCTCTGGGTCTACATCCATGCGGGGGTCCCAGCGGTTTCTCCTGTCAGTGGGAGCTGGTCAGCATGCTGCTAGGGGGAAAGGGGCTGAGGGGTGAGGAGAGGAGGAGTCAGCCCCAAACCATTTCATTTTTGCACCCAAAAAAAGGCTGTGGCTCCCTCCTCGCACCCCTGGCAGCATTCAACCTCCTCCATGTCCAGTGCATCCCTCGGTCTCTCTCATTGGGGACCGGCTGCTGCCCCTCACCAGGAGCCCCTAAGGGGGGCCAAGGTCCCTCCCCATGCACCAGCCCCTGTCCTGCCTCCAGCCAAAGCACTGCCCTCCCCCAGCCCCCTGTGAACGGCACCCCATGGCCTTGGTCCCCCCATGACGTTACTGCATTTGACTGCCCACATTTCACACCCCCTTCCCAGAAACAGGGGCTCTGATCCTGCCGCATCCCACTGTGGGGGAGAGGGACCAGCCTCCGGCGGTGTAAATCATCCCTGAGACCACAGCACTGATTTACACCCAGGGACGAGATCCCCCAGCCCACTTGTATGTGATGAGAGAGAAATTCCTTATCTCTGTTTTTTCTCTGGGGAGGCTGTGGGTGGTTTGGCTTGTAGGAGCTGCTGGACATCATGTAACCATGCAAGGTCCATGCATGTGGACCCTCGTGGGGTCCACATCCCCTCCCCAGCCCTGCCTGGCTGTCCCAAGCTTGGGGTTGGTCTTTTGGGGTTCGGTTGTTTGGGTTCTTTTTTTTTATTATTATTTTTCTGCTGCCTATAAGACTGTAATTATCCATTTGCGCTTGCTCCCTCATTGCTTGCAACTGCGTTCTTGTCTCCCAGTGTCATACACTGAAGCGCAAAGGGAAAAAAATGGGGTTTGGATCAACCCTGCTTGCGGTGCCTAATTTGAGTGAATCGATAGGAAGAGGAAATCCAAGAAGGACTCATCCTAAGGATGCTGGAGCTGAACCTTTTGTTTCCATGGTGACGGGAGAAATGGGACCAGGAATGGAGAGAGGCCTGTAAACTGTTAAAGGAGGACTCGTGGGAATTTC